GAGAAGAGATTCGCAATATATAGGGATTAATATCAAAAATATAAAAATAACTTTTACAAATAATTAGGAAAATACAGCCAGTGGAAGAATGGACAAAGGATGTGAACAGGAAATTCAGAGAAAATGAAATAGAAATGGCAATAAATATTGAAAAGAAGCAGAATCCTTTTTTGGTGTTCAGGGAAATAAAACAATTAAAACCATAATGAGATGATACCTTTCTCCCATCAGACTGGCAAAAAAAAGAAAGAAGGAAGGAAGGAAGAAGAAAGAAAGAAAGAAGAAAGAAGGAAGGAAGGAAGAAGAAAGAAAGAAAGAAGAAAGAAGGAAGGAAGGAAGAAGAAAGAAAGAAAGAAGAAAGAAGGAAGGAAGGAAGAAGAAAGAAAGAAAGAAGAAAGAAGGAAGGAAGGAAGAAGAAAGAAAGAAAGAAGAAAGAAGGAAGGAAGGAAGAAGAAAGAAAGAAAGAAGAAAGAAGGAAGGAAGGAAGAAGAAAGAAAGAAAGAAGAAAGAAGGAAGGAAGGAAGAAGAAAGAAAGAAAGAAGAAAGAAGGAAGGAAGGAAGAAGAAAGAAAGAAAGAAGAAAGAAGGAAGGAAGGAAGAAGAAAGAAAGAAAGAAGAAAGAAGGAAGGAAGGAAGAAGAAAGAAAGAAAGAAGAAAGAAGGAAGGAAGGAAGAAGAAAGAAAGAAAGAAGAAAGAAGGAAGGAAGGAAGAAGAAAGAAAGAAAGAAAGAAAGGAAGAAAGAAGACACTAAATATATGAATACCTATGTTACAAAGGTTTGATGAAATCTAACCTCTCTGAAGGGAAATTTGGCAATAGTTATCAAAAATTCAAATGTGCACACACAGCCATTTACACTGAAAATTCACTTTCTAGAATGCCCTTGAGAAATCATCATACTTATGCAAAAACAGCTTTACAAGGATTTTTCCCAGCACTGTTATTTCTAATTAGCAAATAATAAGAAACAACTTAAATCTATCACTAGAGGAGAGAATACTACTCAGCTGGAAAAAAACAAATGAATGAATGAATAAATGAATGAATGAAGCAGACCTTCAAGTAAGTAAACAGCTACATGTAATCAGCTAATTGTAGATAAATGAGAATATTGTTATATTTTAATAGAAAAAATGCAAAACAAAAATAATAGTTTAAATGATGATTCATATATCTATACTAATAAAAGGGTAATATACTAATTAGACCAGGAGACTTTCCAGGAGACCTTTCGGATGTCCTTCTGGACAAAGCCATGGTGATGGGGCCGAGGCAGAGGCTGTTAGGGGTGATCAGGCCAGGAGGGGAGGGCAGTTGGGGGTGATCAGACCGTCAGGGGGGGCAGGGGGGGGCAAGCAGGCTGGCAGGCAGAGTGGTTAGGGGTGATCAGGCAGGCAGGTGAGCAGTTAGGAGCCAGCAGTCCTGGATTGTGAGAGGGATGTTGGATATCCCCCGAGGGGTCCCAGATTGGAGAGGGTGCAGGCTGGGCTCAGGGACACTCCCCACCCCCATGCACGAATTTCGTGCACCAGGCCACTAGTATGCAAATACATAGGAAAAAAGCCCAAAAGTCCATGACCAACTTCTAAGAGAGTTTACTTCTAAGAGCAGATTTGGGGTTGAGGGTTGTCAGAGGAACTTCTAGTTCTTTTTGTATTGTTTGAATTCTGAGCTGAGAGAACATATTCATGTATTACTTGCATAACTTTTAAAATAGTCTTAAAAAATTCTTGGTGGTAATTTTGAATTCCAAGAACATATTCATGTATTACTTGTATAATTTTATAAAATATACAAAGAAAAAACTTTTTAATCCTGAGGCTATTTCTGGACTCCAAAGATAAAGAGAAAAAAAACCAAAGGATCCCCAGGGGAGGGGAAATGTTTACCTACAAAAAGAAGATAATCAGGCCAACTATTGTTCATGTTTAAGAGGGGGAAAAGACATTTCCAGATATGCAGGGATTCGCAAAGTGTATTGCCCACACACAGTGAATATTACTCAGAAGTACTTTAGCCAAACAAAGAAAACACACACACACACACACACACACACACACACACACACACACACACACGAAATGCCTAAGTAATTGTGACATTTACTATACCTGCTAGGTAGCTGTTGGTAAGCTAAGCTTTCCTAGAAATGTGTCCATTTCTTCTAAATCTTCCAATTTATTGCTCCAGATTGTTCAATGCATTCTGGTCTTTTAAACTTCTATTGTATCTATAGTTATTGTACTTTTTACTCCTAATATTGCTTATTTGCACCTTCTCTCTTTTTTTCTTGCTCACTGTTGCCAGAAATGTCTATTTAATTAGTCCTCCATAGAAGCCAGGAATTTACTGTCAATATCAGAAAAAACATATGCACAAGATTATCCATTCTCGTATTATTCATACTGGAAAAATATTGGAAATAACCTAAACATCCACATATAGAAAATTAGCTGGATAAATTATGGTACTTCTACATCGTAGACAGCTATGCAGCTATTAAAAAAATGAGGAAGATCTCTATACACTGATTTACCATGATTTCCAGGATGTCATTAAGAAAAAAAACACTAGAGAAAACTTACTTTTACAAAAGAAATGGAAAGAATAAAATATTTACTTCCAGAGGATGGGTGGGAAGGAGGTAGAAGGGATAGAAAAGGGAATGAAACTTTTATTATGAGTTTTGATATAGCTTTGACTTTTGAACCATGTTGATATTTTATATATTTCCAAAAAAAATCAGTAAGAATGGGAAACAACTGAAACTTAATCATAGAAATGAATAAACTTAATGGTATACAAAATAAATAGCATAAACACAACAGAAGAAAAAATTCAAACAACTTTTAAACATGGTTCTCTGATTATATACTCTCAGTAGGATATATTCAATGGACATAAAGAACTTCAAAGAAATCTTGGGCTTTCCTTAATACATTTTTGGGGAGTGGTATTGACATAGCAATTCTGAAAGTCTTTTATTTACATGTACCTACAAAAGAAAAGAGAATCAGAATATGTTGCTGTTGGACTCTCATTCAGGGAGTAGGGAGATGTAACTATGGAATGAAGGAAGGGAAGAACTCTGAGATGCTGGATTGGAATTAGAGGTAGTAGTATAAACTCACGATTTTTTAAAAGTTGCACTTCCTAACCCTGTCTGCTCAGATGGCCCAGCAACAACGGCACCCTGGTAACAGTGAGCACACCCAGAATCCAGACCTTGGTTTCTAAGTACCATTACCCTCTGAGAGGAACCAGGGCTCTTTGGAGAAATGGATGATTCCAGGACTGGGACACAGAAACTACCAGATGAGTCTGGAATAGCCATATTTTGTGCCATAAAGTATTTAAGTACTCAAAGAATAAGAAGGCAGGGGGTGGGGGGGCGCGGTGGATGGGGACATCTGTAATACTGATAACAATAAATAAAAAAATAAAAAGGCATGTCAAATGAACAGAGAAACGTATTTAAAGAGTTCCTTTTGGTCAAATTTGGCACCATTTGTATATAAAAATGAATAATGGCAGAAGTAAATTGTTACCCCCGGATACAAAAAATACACGAGACCATAGTGATAGTTTTAAGAAGGAGGCAGTAGGGAAATCTCTTATTTACAGGAGGTTACCAACTATTAAACACAGAAGGAATAACATATATGAAATATATAGGAAACTTTGAGACTAGGTAAATATCCTGTTTCCAATCAGGCTTTCACCCAGTGGTCTTAACATTTGTTGGTCATTCTTGTCTGTTTCCAGTTTTAGGCTAATACGAACAAAGCTACTACATTCACATATAGATCTCTGGGTGAACGTGTGTATTCATTTCTCTTGAGGTAAATACCTAAAATTAGGATTGTTGGCTCACATTGTAAGTGCATGTTTAACTTTATGAGACTGTAATACCATTTTACACACACCCGTGCCCCAATCCTGATTCTAGGATCACACACTGCATTTAGTTCTTATCTCTTTAGCCTTTTAGGTGTAATTAAAGATAAATGAGAATATATATATGATTTGCACAATCATATTCAAAGCAGCACTGTTTGGTTGTGAACTCCAAATTGGAAACAACTCAAATTTTCACCAACAGTAGGATGAATAAAGAAATTTCAATATTGTTATAACAATGGAATATTATGCAGCAATGAAAAATAAACTAATACCACATATAGCAATATGGACACATCTCACAAACAACTTTTAGTGAAAGAAAACAAAGGCCCCCCAAAAGTACATACTGATGATTCCATTTCCGTAAAGTTCAATAGCTGGCCAAATGAGAATATAGTGAAGACAGTCAGAAAGGTGGTTTCCTGTGGTATGGGCGTAGTGATGGAGAGGTTTCTGAGATGTTGCGGATGCTCTAAATCAGTGGTCACCAACCGGTGGTCTGCAGACCACTGGTGGTCCATGAGGTCCGAAAGGTTGGTGCCCGCTGCTCTAAATTTTTATCTAAGTGATGTTACTTGGATGAGCTCACTTTGTGAAAACTTCTCAAGCTGTGTTTACCTTTATGATGACTGTGCCTCTCTGTAAATTAATTTTTACATTAATTTTTTAATGTAAAAAATTTTTAAAGTAAACTTAACCCTGAATCTAAAACTGAACAACATGAAGACTGAATCCTTTCTGAGTTAATGTTAAACCTTAGTTTTCAGAAATCATCCTTACTTTCCAACTTCCCAAGGTTTGGGGGGGACTTCCCTGTAACCAAATGAGCATGTCTTAATGATAATTCGCAGGACGGGAGATGTGCAGGGATGAAGGCCCAAACAGTGCTCCGTGTTACACTGGTGCACCTTCTAACAGAAAGACGTTTGACAGTACCACCAAGAGAATAAAAAAGAGATGTGTGCTGTATTAGCCAGTTATTCACTTCCAGGATTTTAGCTTAAATCAACAACTCAGTCAAATAGTTATGAGCAATGACGTAAAGTTATACATTAAAAATTCTTTGGGGGAAAAAAATACTTTGAAGGTAATACTTACAATTGGCGTCCCAAAAGGAATGTAACCTGTGAGAGGAGAGAGAAGAGTCAGGCCTCATAACCCCGCCCTCCGCCCCACAGACCTCTCAATTTAGACATCGGAGGAGACTTCTGGGCTTGGTCTTGACAGTGGCCTCAATGAAGGGGTGCAGGTCCCTTAGGGGAGAGGCACCTCTAGTCCCCAGACCTTTTCCCAGCTCAGTCCTCCCCAGAGCAGAGGGCACCCCTGTGTCCCCCAGCCTCCCTCTCTCTGTTCCCCGTTAGCCAGACAGTTCTCATTCCCCTCCCCAACCCATTCCTGAAGGCAGGCGGGCCCCACGGTACACACTGGGGGCTCCTCCCATCATTCCCCTCCTGAGGCGCAACGCCCCTGCCACGCTCACTGCACACACTGCCATGTCTTCAAAGGCCCTGGACTATCCCTCAGCTTCTTTCTCACACGCACCCTTCCCTCCCTGACATCAAGACCATTTCTAGAAAAGACATTCCCTACCCCCCTGAGAGGTGCACCTCTAAGTGCCAGAGCTCTTTCCATCGCTGGTGCCCTGCGAGACACCCTCACACAGCAGCACAGAGCTGGTGTGAAGCCCAGCCAGGCCTGGGCGCTGTTTCCTCGCTGCTCATGGCCCTGGACTATGGCAAGGCCTCCACCATCCCCACCGCTGTCAACGGCCAGCGGCCTGTCCCCAGCCTCTAACTATGGCAGCTGGTAGCTGGACAGCAGCCAACCTCTATCTATCTGAGCTACATGTAAAGCAAAGGTTTGCATCCTCAGGCGCGTCATTGCGCATGCACATGAGCCAGCGCTCTCCTACCCGCATTCTCCGGAGAGAGGTCCAAAGCTTGATGGGAGACGTACAAGAGGAACCAGGCTCAGGGTGGGAGCCTGCTAGGGCCTCGTGCAGGGACTGGGGAGCACCCACAGCCATGGCTAGAAGGTGCTCCCAGCCTTCGCTTCCTTGGAGTTCCTCACAGCAAGGCAAGGGGGTCACCTGGCACCAATTGCCCCGGTTTGCACAAGGATGTCACGTGGCTGTTTATTCTCTCCCCCCATGAGGTCAGGCTCTCTGGGGGTGGGGACCCTGGCTGACCTACCCGACCAGGAACACCCACTGGTAGAGACCCTTCCTCCAGCCGCTGAGGACTTCCCAAGGGGGCATCCAGCAGCCGCGCCACCCACCCTATACCTCGGGTCGTACACCAGGAGTCGGGTCTGAGCTCCAGGCAAGACCTGTGGCCCCTCCGCACTGCAGGCAGGGTGACCCCGCCAGCCCAGTGTGTGCGCAAGTCTTTCTGGACTGTGAGGTTCACCACACAGAACCGTCCTTCTAGTGGCCACAGGGCAGGGACTTCCCAGGAGGCGGGCATCTTCCAGCTACTCCCCCAGCCCCTGCCCACTGGTCTGCACAGAATGGAATTTGCCATCGCTGTGCGAGCAGTGGGGCACATATAGCGCGGACTTTCTGAAGGGCAGGTTAATGGCAGGTTCAGAGACCAGCGAGTTAGCCTGAGGATTAACTGCCTGGAAGGGCAGAGCGGGGAGCAGGACCTGGAGGGAGAGAGCGCGTGCACAGGTGGGAGAAGTGGCTCCTCGGAGGCAGGTTCGCCCGCAGCAGGTGTTACCCCGGAGGCTGCCAATAACCTGGGAGTAACCTGCGGAGGCCCCACTCCACCCCAGCTGCTCAGGCAGAAAAGGCACTTGTTTTGTTTTGTTTTTAGAAAAGGCACATTTTTTAAAAGCTCCATAGGTGATTCTGAGGCCTGGCTCGAGTCTTACCCAGTTGAGTCCATGTGAACATGCAGGTGCCAGTGCGGCCATGTGCATAACACAGGCTCCCTCCCCGCCCCAGGCCGGCACATCTAGCGGGTGCTGGAGCTGTGACACGGTAAGTGGCCCTGGCTGGGCGGAAGCAGAGGTCCCGGGGCTCACCTGACATTCTAAAGGGCATGAAGATCTTCTCATTGGTGTCCGGGTGTAGAATAGCCTGGCAAGAGCAAGGAACAGAGCACAGGTGACAGTGGGAGAGGGAGGGGGCACAGGGAGAGGAAGGGAAGGAGGCGGGAAAGGAGAGCCCCCCCTCCCACAGGATGACTCCGAGGGCCAGTGGCTGTGTCCTGCCTTCTCGCCAGGCAGTCCTTTCCCACCACTGGGGCAAGAGGAAGCTAACACACCACCCCAAACAGCACGTATCCTCTGACTAATGCTCCAAGCTGAACACAGGGAGGGCAGGACTGTGTCTACCTCTCGGGCCCCCTGAACCCCTGTGCCTGGCACACAGTAGAATTGACAGATTGTTCTGTTTCTCCAGCCTGTGCCTCATGCTGGTGCTGGAGAGAGACAACTTTTCCACTCATTTGAAAGCAACTTTCTTCTCCTTACCACCTTCTTATAATAACAACAATAGGAATAAGAATACCTACAACAGCCAGCAGTTAAAAGGCACTTACTATGTGCCCAGTGCTGCTCCAAGAACTTGGTGTAGATTTTTTCAACAATGTTAGAGGCACAGCTATTATTCCCATTTTACAGAAGAGGAAATTGGGGCTCAGAGGTGGAAGTGGCAAAGCGGGGAATCCCAGCAGTCTGCCTCGCTCTGAAAAAGTCATGTGAGGCTGCCTCTACCCATTCTGGGAGACAGTTGAAGGATCTTCATTAAATCAGGCTTTTTACCTGGCCCTACCAGGAAGCTTTAGAAAAACGCTGGGAGAATTCTTAAAGTAACCTTACAGCAGCCAGGGTTGAGAACCCTTCGTTTAAATCAGCGGTTCTCAACCTGTGGGTCGCGACCCCTTGGTCTCAAAGTCACATTTCTAACCAAGAGATCTAGCTGCAAAGGGCTTAAGAGGCTCAGGCTGTACTGGTCCCCTCAGGTCTGGCAGCTACTCTGAGGGTGTGGTGTCAGTCATAACAGTAGCAACATTACAGTTATGAAGTAGCACTGAAAATAATTTTATGGTTGGGTCACAGCAGAAGGAACTGTATTTAAAGGGCCAGAAGGTTGAGAACCACTGGTTTAAATGATCTGTGTGAGATCCCCTCGCTCTGCTGTTCTGGGGCCCTGACGCCACACCCTCAGTAGCTGCCAGACCTGGGGGGACCAGTACAGCCTGAGCCTCTTAAGCCCTTTGCAGCTAGATCTCTTGGTTAGAAATGTGACTTTGAGACCAAGGGGTCGCGACCCACAGGTTGAGAACCGCTGATTTAAACGAAGGATTCTCAACCCTGGCTGCTGTAAGGTTACTTTAAGAATTCTCCCAGCTTTTTTCTAAAGCTTCCTGGTAGGGCCAGGTAAAAAGCCTGATTTAATGAAGATCCTTCAACTGTCTCCCAGAATCGGTAGAGGCAGCCTCACATGACTTTTTCAGAGCGAGGCAGACTGCTGGGATTCCCCGCTTTGCCACTTCCACCTCTGAGCCCCAATTTCCTCTTCTGTAAAATGGGAATAATAGCTGTGCCTCTAACATTGTTGAAAAAATCTACACCAAGTTCTTGGAGCAGCACTGGGCACATAGTAAGTGCCTTTTAACTGCTGGCTGTTGTAGGTATTCTTATTCCTATTGTTGTTATTATAAGAAGGTGGTAAGGAGAAGAAAGTTGCTTTCAAATGAGTGGAAAAGTTGTCTCTCTCCAGCACCAGCATGAGGCACAGGCTGGAGAAACAGAACAATCTGTCAATTCCTTCAAATGATATAAATACTGCCTTTCATTGAATCTAAGACATCGTTAATCCGAAGACATTATTATGTGCCGCTAAGTAAGAAAACAATGACATAATGCCAAGACCACCATCAATAAAAAGACTCATCCCATTTAAGAGATGTTAAAATGTGATAAAAATGGGCCTGTTAGAAGCAAGCAAACCCAGTAAATAAACATTTACATTGTGGCAAACCAAGGGCCAGTGCACTTTTAATGGAGCAAAAAGGGTAGGAGGTGAGAGGTAAGATGCGGCCAGGAGTGGTGGTTAGTTTTGTAACAGAACAGTTCACTTATGCTTCCTTTACATGGCAGTGTTGTTGCCTGGAACATAAATTAAGTTGCAGAAGGCTACTGGGTAGCAAAAATAGAAGTTATAAAATTGATATATTAAAGCTTATGCATTATACTCACAGCAGAGTCCTCAAGCCTTAATTCACAGCCTAATTACTCTTATTTTAGATACATTTCAAACATATTTGATTGTCTGCTATTCCAGGAAGATTGGAGGCAGTAGAGTTTTGAAAAATAATAATTGCGGAACAGAAGGGACTGAAGAGAGAAAAACCAAATGCAGAATCAGTGTCAGCCAAAGGAGGTGAGAGCATCCAGCAGAGATGAAAAAAAAAAAAAAGATAAAAGGCTGACCCTCCTTTGCCTTCCTGAAGTGCACCCCCAAGTCCCAGGGCCATTTTAGGTGCGAGCCTTTCAGCACCGTCCGGCATCTCCCACAGTGCTGGCCACCCAGAAAATCTAAAGCTATTCTAAAATTAAAATTTTATTTTAAAAAAAAACCCTCAAAATTCCTTCGTACAGTTCTTTGAAAAAAATTCCCCATGATTCTGAGGAAGACCCTGGGCAGAAAACACTGGCCTAAAACATCAGAGGACAGTGTAAAGAGCCAGTGTTAGAACCAGGCAGCCCTGTGTTCAAATCACTTCCTGGAGGCGTGGCCCTGGGCTCATTACATCGCCTTCATGTCTCAGTTTCTCCATCAGTGAAATGGGCTGTTGTGAAGGTGGAGCGGAGGCTGGATGCTCCTGGGCAGTTTGAGCTTCCCTTCAGGCAGACAGCTAAGCCTACACTGCCCAGGGGGGGGGGGGGGGGGGGGCACCCACGTGACCTGGTGCTGGCTGATGGCCTGTGATGTTTGCCACTCCCAGGCCTGGCCCCAAAGCCTCCCACAGAGAATCCAGGGGAGGACGATGAGGCCCTGGAAGACAGTAAAACCATGAAGGGGAAGGAGCTGGGTCCCTGGACAATGTCATGCGCCAAGTCCCTGAGCTGCGCTGGATTCTGACATGAGTGAGAAATGGACCGTACAGAAAAGCCCCTGAACTCTGGGGCCTGTGTGTTACAGCACTTGGCTTACCCTGACTCACACAGAGGTTTAAATGAGATACACATATCTAAACTGCTTGGCCCATAGGACATGCTCCATAAATGCCTAAAACAGAGGGACGGTCATTCAAATGAGCAACATGTTTAATGACTTAATTAATTTTAAAGTAACTTCACATCTATTGTCTTATGCCTGCAACATGCCTGTGAGGTGGGTAGGTTCTTTTCAGACAACGTAACTCATCTCAGAGACTAAGTAACGCAGCCCCGGGCCCCTGGTGGCTGGATGGACATGGGCACCCAGGCCTCCTGGCCTCCAGACTCACATCCTCCCTCTCTCCAGGGCCCTGGAGGAGATGACGTCTGGTCTGGCCAGCGTGACTGCCAGGCCGAGGCATGAGAGGAGGAAGAGAACCGGCTGACATCATCCTGAGGGCACAGAGCCTCCTGGCAGCCCGGCAGCTGATGCTCCTCCCGCCGAAGTCCCGCCAAGCAGCACTGGTAACCCATGGCGACATCGTGTCCCTCAGGTTCAAGGACTGTCCTTCACCTCCACCCAGGAGCAGCGATGGAGAGTCAGGCAGGTGCTGGCTTAGCGGCAAAGGCGGAAGTCCAGCAGGGCTGTCAGCAGGCAAGGCCAGGAACCCAGAGCTCACAGGCCTGTCCCTTCCTCCCTCCCCCGAAGTGACACCACCACACTCATGGCCTGGGTAGGCTAGTGGCACCGATATGGGCCGTGGTAAGTCTCACAGGATAGGTCAGTCCATGCTTCCTATTTGCTGAGCACTTTCCCGCAGAAGCACTGAGATCTGAACCCAAGCTGTGTGGTTCCAGAGGCCCCGCTCTTAATCCCCACATCCCCCTGATTCTAAGGCTAGCAAGCCTGTGCACACCGTTCTGCCCTCGGGGCATCTAAAATACTGTGGGGCCTGGCTGGCGTGGCTCAGTGGTTGAGCATCGACCTATGAACCAGGATTCCTGGTCAGGGTACATGCCTGGTTTGCTGGCTCGATCCCCAGCAGGGGATGTGCAGGAGGTAGCTGGTCAATGATTCTCTCTCCCTCTCCCTTCCTCTCTGAAATTAATATATATATTAGAAAATAAATAAATTAAATATTGTGGAGATCTTCCCACATCAGTGCACAGAGAGCACCTCATTTTTCCTAATAGAAACCTTGAATGAATGCACTGTATATTCTACTGTGTCCTATGAGTGGACTTTTAGCCTATTTTCAGTCTTTCTTATTGTGGTAAAATATACATAATGTGAAACTTACCATTTTAGCCACTTTAAAGTGGCAGCTCTACGGCGTTAGGTGCATTCACACTATTGTACACCATCACCAGCATCCATCTCCAGAACTTCTTCATCTTTCCCAACTGAACTCTGTACCCAGTGTACCAACCA